TTTGGTGTAACAATTGGAATCTGGCATTCTCACCGGCTAAATGCAACGTCCTCATACCGATGCATCGTTTCGCCCAAGGCGTTAGCGCTTCAAGGCACTCCACTTGCTAATAGCCTCACAGTTCGTGACCTAGGTGTACATTACTTCAGTTCTCTGAACTTCGCGGAGCAAGTGAGCCATTGCTCAGCAAAAGCACGCTCCCTCATAAGCTACATATTTAAATCGATGACACTGCAAGAATATAGGCTTGCTCTATACAAAACCTGCGCCCGACCTATGCTAGAATACTGCTCCATTGTGTTTACCAACTCCAGAAAATGCGATGGAGTAGCCATTGAAAAGGTTCAACAATCTTTTGCTAAACGTCTTCTGGGCAAATCTACTCTAAACTATGGTGGTCGTTGCAGCAAACTCGTGCTAGAGCCTTTATGGTTGCGCAGGCTGAAAACTAACCTCATCTTCCTATATCAGCTTACAAATAATCCTCTTGCAAACTCGCTAACTCCCTTCCTATCATCGGCCTACATTTCGTACCCTCTTCGTAATAGACCGCACTCCATTATCCTGCCGAAAGCCCACAGTAATACCCGTGCAAACTTCTATCTTTACGGATATGCGTATGTGTGGAATAGGCTTCCACATAATGTGAGCGCATCTGGTAATGTAATCCACTTCCGTTCAGCACTTAATAGGTACCTCATAATCAGTCAGGTTTCTACTCTTTTAAGCATAAATGGACTTGAAGACGAACCGTGGGAGAATGGTCCTGACCATATATATAAGTGTTTTCCCCATCCTATCTCACTCAAATTCAATGTAGTCCAATTGTAGTCCACTTTCCTCATCTGCTTTTTCCGGCTCAGTCTACCGCGGTATGCATTCTTGCCGTTTTCTGTCCACTCTTCATTCAATAGGTTTTAGCTCGCTTCAGGTGACGTGACTCACTCAGACAACTTACTGTATGCTTGCATTATTCATGTCTGCTGTACTTTCTGCATTCACCCTTTTTAGCTCTCTTCTGGCGACCTTCTTTATGTCATCAGGTCAGCGCACATCCGCTGCTTGATAGATGCCCAGCTGTCACTTACCTGTCTGTAACACCTAATAATTGTAGTTCATCTTCCCTACTGGCTTCTCCCCAGCTCCAGCTACTTTTGTAATATCTCATTAGCACCCTAGCATAATTTGACTATCTGCGCGACGCTGTGTCTTAGCTTCTAGGCTCTGAACTATTTAGCAACCATATTTCATGCCTGCGCTTCTCCCGTTCGCTGCCCTTCATCATGTAACCTTAGCTCTCTTCTGTCCAGCAAACAACTCAAGTAGTCCGCGCGCAGCCGCTCCTTTCCAGGCGTTCATTTATCTATTTCTCACTACGTCTACGACACCTACGTATACTGCAGTTTAGCTCTCTTACCGGCTTATCCCGGCACAGGCTTCCTTTTATGCATTTTATGCTCTGAACTATTTAACAACCAAATCGTATGCTTGCGCTCCACCCGTTCACTCTATTTCTATCGTGAAACCTTTCTTAGCTCTCTTCTGCAGATCAAACATAACTCATGTGGTCTGCCCAAAGCTTTTCCCTAGCCTCTCTATTCTAAACGTTCATTTAATCATCACTCACTCCTTGCTTGATGCTCAGCCGTCACGTACTCGACTGTGATACCTAATTACTTGTAATTCAGCCCTCTCACCGGCTTCACGCTGCTCAGGCACCCTTACTTTTACTACATTTGCACCACCGCATGATTTCATAATCTGCGCGTCGCCGCATCTTCGTCTTTTATGCTCTGAACTATTTAACAACCAAATCGCATGCTTACGCTCCACCCGTTCACTGTCCTCCCATCATGAAACCTTTCATAGCTCTCTTTTGCAGATCAAACATAACTCATGTGGTCTTCCCAAAGCTGTTCCTTCGCCTCTCTATCCTAGACGTTCTCATATCTCTTAGCTGTTGCAACGTCTTTGACTTTTCACCTGCAAGCGTCCAGCTGTTGGACTAGCTTTCCCAGGCTCTTTCTAAGAGAGTAGTATCCCAGCACCATAGCATGAATTGTGCCCTTATACGCCGCCGTGGTTCAGCATTAAATGCTATGCCTCCCTCAATCAACTCACTGTACGCTTGCATTCTTCCAGTCTATTGTCCTTTCTTTATTCGACCTTCTTAGCTGTCGTCTGGCGACCTTCTTCACCTCATCCGGTCAGTGCACAGCTGCTCCTTGCTAGATGCCCAGCTGTCACTCGTCTGCGACACCTAAATAATAGTAGTTCTGTATTCTCACTGGCTTCTCCCGGCTCAGTCTTCCCTAGTTTTATTCCTTTGGCACCACAACATGATCTTATTATGTGCGCGTCTTCGCCTATTTTTGCTCTAAACTATTTAATAGCCTAAACGTATGCCTGTGATTCATCCGTTGGTTGTCCTTTCTTCACGAAACCTGCTTAGCTCTCTTCTGTCTTGCAGGCATACCCATGTATTCAGCATAAGCCGCTGTTTTGCCTCACCCTTCATAATGTTCATTTATCCCTTACTCGATATAGTGTCTTAATCCTTATTACCTTCAATCCTCCAGCTCCAGGGCTAGCATTCTCTGGCACTATCCAGCCTGGTACA